GAGCGAAAAGATCTTCGAATTAATTTTCATTAATACTTTTAACAATTGGGCAACAAATATCTAAAAAAAATCTTACAGTAACGCTACTGAGACAGGTAACCCAAATAGAAAATTAAAATTAAAAAGAAGCTATTTTGTCTGCATTCCATGACGATCCAATTCAAGGTGGTCATACTGGCATTTTTAGAACGCCAAGAATAATAATAAAAAGACATTACTTCTGGATAAATATGACACGGCATAGAACAAAGTACATACGGAATTGTCCAAAATGACAAAAAGCTAAAACAACAAAGCATACAAAGACACCTTTAAAACTAACTGAAACACCAATATACGACAGGGTAATTTTTGACACTATAGGTCCATTACCAAGATCAGAAAATGGTAACGAGTATGCAGTTACACTTACTTGCGAATTAACAAAATATCTTGTTGCCATTCCAATCCCAAATAAAAATGCAAAAACTGTCGCTGAACCTATATTTGAATCTTTTATTCTAAAGTACGGGCCAATGAAGACGTTCACAACGGACATGGGTACAAAGTATAAGAATTCAGTGATAAATGACATATATAAATACTTAAGAACAGATAATATTACATCAACAGCACACCATCACTAAACAGTTGGTACTGTTGCAAGAAGCCACAGAACGTTTAATACATACGTTCGTATATATCAGTTGATAAAACTAATTGGGACGCATGGCTCCAATGTTTTGTTTATTGCTTTAATACTACAGCATCTATAGTACATAATTATTGTCCTTACGAGTTAGTATTTAGCAAGACATCCAATTTTTCAAAACATTTTAATGGTGTAGATAATATAAATCCACTTTATATCATAGAAGATTATTCAAAAGAATCCAAGTTTAGATTAGAGCAAGCTTATAAAAGAGCTAGAATAATGATAGATAAACATAAGCAGAAAAATAAGGAACTATATGATGGGAAAACATTAGACCTTAATTTGAATACAGGAGATAAAATACTTTTAAAAAATGAAGTAGGCCATAAATTAGAAAATAAATACCTAGGAACATATACGGTAGTAAGAATAATAAAAAAGATAATGCTATAATAAAAGATACCAAGGGTAAAGAACAAAAAATTCGTAAGGATATATTAAAAAATTTTAATTCATAACACATTTAAATTTTCTTTTTGAATTCGAATTCAAAATCAACAAAAAAAAAAATATATATTTATATGTGTTCAACGGCCTGATCAGCCAAATGAATATTAACGACAATAAAACATTTTTAAAGAAAAACAAATTATTATATTGAATTTTTATATTTTTATACTTTTAAATTTTTATATTCTGAAATTTTATTAGTTTTATATTTTTATATTTTTCAGTTTTTATATTACTAATTATTACAATCAATTATACTATAAATAACTACATATTCATAATATTACGTTATTTTTCTAAAAAGGGAAGTGTAGTGTATTTATACATATAAATCTAATCACATATAACTTAAATTGTAACACTTTGTTGAAAGTATAAATAAACCTAAATATGCCTAACATAAACATGACCGTATATATGTATGTACATAGTCAAGTACATACATACATACAATCTACGCATATAAGTAATATATAGCCACTTGAGCAGACCAAGCTAGCGTGGTCTCTTTGAGTGAGCACCCAAATATATGAGCACACCCTCTCTCTATCTCTCTCTTTGCAGCTGTTAACCGATAATAGCATAAATATATATACATGTTATCCATAGGCTAAGATCATTCTTCACTACAATAAAAGTTGTTGACAAAAAGGGTACCGACAAGTTGGGAGAAAAGAAAAAACGCCTTGTCATCGACTTTAGGAAACTAAACGAACAGACAGAGGCTGACAGATACCCCATGCAAAACATTTTAATAATATTGGCCAATCTACAGAAAGCTAAGAACTTCACGACGCTAGATGTGAAGTCCGGCTACCACCTGATTATTTTAACGGAACGAGGCAGGCCAAAAATGTATTTTTCTGTTAATGGGGGAAAGTACGAGTTTTGTCGGCTCCCTTTCGGATTGAAGAATGGGGGCGGTATCTTCCAGAGAGCCATCGACGATGATCTGTGCAAACAAATCGGCAGATCATGCTATGTTTACGTCGACGACGTAATTGTCTTCTCCCAAAACAGAGTAGATCACTTCAAGCATGTTGACTGGGTATTAAAAAGACTCCTAGAAGCAAACACGAGGGTGGCGCAAGAGAAGACGCAGTTTTTCAAGAAAAGCGTAGTACCTCGGGTTTATTGTAACCAGCGAGAGTAAAAAATAGAACCTGAAAAAGTCAAAGCCACTCAGGAATATGTTGAATCGGAAAACCTTTACGCGGTACGGTCCTTCCTAGGACTGTCAAGCTACTACAGGTGCTTCGTGAAATTCTTCGCGTCCATTGCGAAACCTTTGTCCGATATCCTTAAAGGGGAAAACGGGTCGATTAGTAGGCATAAGTCAAAAAAAGTTCCGATTGAGCCGAACGGAACACAGCGTCATGCCTTCGAAAAACTTCGAAATATCTTGACTTCAGAAGACGTCATGCTCCCGGACTACAAGAAACCATTCGATTTAACGACAAATGCTTCGGCTTATGGTATAGGCGCGGTTCTATCACCGAACGGCCGTCAGATAACAATGGTTTCGAGAACCTTAAAAGATAGGGAGGTAAGCTATGCGACAAACGTGAGAGAGCTGCTCGCGATTGTGTGGGCTTTGGGGAAACTCCGACATTACCTCTACGGGGTAGAGACATTAATATTTTCACAGACCACCAGACCCTCGCATTTACCGTTTCAGGGAGAAACCCAAATTCTAAAATAAAGCGTTGGAATGCGTTTATTGATGAGCACAACGCTATCGTTTTTATAAGACAGGGATAGAGAACCAAGTTACTGATCCCCCTTTTTCCGACAGAAGTTGAAGGCACTAGAAGATCAAATGTCCACTGCAGCAACAATTCATAGCGAAGCATCTCTGACATACACGATCGAAAAAACAGACAAGACTCTAAACTGCTTCAGAAACCAAATAATTTTGGACGAGGCCCATTTCCCGTTAAAAGAGAATTTTATTCTATTTGTGGAACAGACACGGCATATCATAAATTTTGTGAGCAGGGGCTCACTTCTTGATATCCTAAAGTCAGTTGTTAACCCTGGGGTAGTAAACGCAATACGCTGCGAACCGCCCATCCTAGCCCACGTTTAGAACGACCTTGTTACAAGCTTTCCAGCAACAAAGTTTTGGCATTGCAGGAACCTGGTGACAGACATTTTCGATAAATACGAAATGTCAGAAATAATCACAACAGAGCACAATCGTTCGTAAGGTTTGCGCAAAGGCAAAATACGACAGACACCCAAAAAGACAGGAGCTAGGCGAAACACCAATTTCGTCGTATAGCGGAGAAATATAATACGTATACACATACTCGACGAATAAAAATTCTTCTTTCTTGTGTAGACAAGTTCTCCAAGTTCGCAGTAGTCCAACCGATAGCGTCCCGCACTATCGAGGACGTAAAAATCGCATTGATTCAGCTGATGAACATCTTCCCTCTTTGCAAGTCAATATACTGCGACAACAAACCGTCACTGAATTCAAGGCCACAAATACAATGTTGTCAATCTATTTTGATGTTTCCATCAGCAATGCGCCAAGGCCAATAAAAGACTCGGCAATAAGTTGACTCCTTTGGGGACATCAGTCCTTGTTAAGGGAAGGGTGGTGCACAAGGAGAACCTTAAATAGGCCTTTGTGGTTTATCTTATTATTCATTTATGCACCATTAGTTAAGGCTTAAGCCAGATACAACTTTTAATCTACGTTTTTGGGTTATTATACGCGTTGCTTCCCTTCTTCGCGCCAGTTCCCGCCCGGATAACCGAATATTCCCACGTAAGAACCCTGTTGTCCGCTTTAACTGTACACCATAGGATGACGAGAAGTGCAGATTTCCTGGGCACCGTAGTAGCAGAAGTAGTAGTTACTATTAAGCTTTTACAATGCAATGATATAATACACTTTATAATTAAATACCCTAAAATCAGGTTCTCCTGCAAGAGTCACCATCTTTCTAGTAGCGCACAACGGCAGATTGCTGCAGCTACCTAACAACATCATGGCCGAGTGCGAATTTGAGGTAGTCGAGGTCGCAAACTGGCCAACAACTACTGCAACCTTTTGTGAGCTAGCGGCCGATGACTCATGCGCCCAAGGTTTACATGTGGGTGGCGTTGCCCACTGCAGGACTTAAGCCAGCCACCTGGACCCGATCACGATGGTCGACGATGGTATCGAAATAATAAACAACCGCCCAGCGTAGGTTAGCATTGACAATGGTCCAGATATGAATGTAGTCGGTACCCATCTTGTAACCTTCGAACCCATCGCTAACTGGTGGCAAAGATTGGCATGCCTGAGTTAACTGTTGACCCCATCCGCGACCGTTGGACCTCGCAACGGTAGCATTTAAGACGTAAACAGTCAGCATTGCGGCGGTCAGCGACAGCAGCGCGCTTATGGTAACCTAATGCCTTGCACGAGACGCAAGTGTTATCACTACCGGCGGCAACAGCGCTTCCGGCAACTTTCAGCTAGGGTTTATTCCTAAGAAGACTTTTGTATTTAGTTCTTAAGTTGCATTAATATTGGCCGGTCGTGCCCAATAAATATCTAAAACCGAGTCCCTAATCGTCTTATTGTTGCGCCCGTCGGCCAATACCTAAACTAAGGAGAAATCGGTCGTTGAATCCCTTCATCATCTGCCGAGTGGAATCAACATAATTTATATACATTTCTGCTATTTACCACGTCTCTTATTGGCGTAGCCGTAAAACTTAAAAACAAAATTTGACGTCAGAAAAACACAATTATTCGCGGTTATATGTCTCTAGCTTTTATAATAACGAAAAAAAATGCGTTCAACAGACAGATGCATGTACATTGCACAAAACTAATAACACTGTGAAGGAATATTAGCTCGCAAAGGACTCCGAATATTTAATTGTTGTTTAATGAGAGATTGTATTACATTTTAGACATATTACATGTCTGTTAAGCAGAAGATTTTTTTTCTTAATGATTTTGGTCATGGCGCTCTTTTTGAAAAAGCCATACACAAAATACTAACAAGTTCAAGAATAGGTGTGCTAGCCAGTTTTATAGTTATTGCCACATAAATTATTATCGGTTAAGCAAAAAAAAACGTTGACCGCACAGACCAAGACATACGTTTCTTTGCTAATATTCAGAAAATCACATTGCAAGCGTTTCTTTGATGATCTTTTTCATGGCATTTCCCATTGAAGGTGCCGTTGATCCGGAAGTTGAATAATCGAATTTGAACAAATATGGCTGTACATCGGGAAAGGAAGTGTCGAAGATCAGATCAAGCTCGCTTTGACTTGGAGTCTTAGGTACATAATCGTGTCGGTTCATTAATTCTGTAATGTATATAACCTTTTCGGTAAGCAGGTCCGACACATTTTCGCGGCAGAGCTGGCGCTCATCCTCGTTCTCGTGTTTAATTAAATCCAGGTGTACTGTCCACACCTCCCATGGTATAGACTCCTGTGTAAATAACCAACGATTTTTCTTTTTCTGAAAAAACTCCAAACTGATCTGTCCGGATCCGCAGCTTTCATTTGAGCGCAACTTTTCGCTAAACAAATTGATGGCACGCTTCACCCTGCGCGTAAGGCTATCTGATGTGCAGCAAACATATGTGAAATCAATAAAGTCACAATCGACATCTGAATACCCCACGGTACCAATCGAGTATTGTGCATCTCCCGTATACATATATTTGCCCAAACAGCGGTGAAAAAGCACTGTGTGAAATATGCCGGCCACTGCCTCATCCACCTGGCGACCTTCCATAGTAAGATCAAATATCTGTGAGCGTGCGTTCATTCTAGAAGTCGACTCTTTGATTCAACAATCGAGTACAAGCTAGTTTTTCGTTGGTGCTGAGCTTGCTCAAAAATTTTTACTGTTTGGGAATTCGTGCTCTGCCACGACGAAGCCGAGTTCCGTTATATTTTTTTTTGCCTGCACTCGCTATTACATATATTATTATAATTATACTCTAAGCATAAGCTCTAAAAGTAATCGTTAAGAAATAGTTTTAATAACGTTTCCATTCCCTCTGTTAAATTAATAATTTTGTAAGAGTTTAGATTAAATGTAGCTTTGTTTGTTTCCGTTCAATATAGTTGTTTAAACTCTTCAATATTTGGGAAACAGATTTGTTTGTCACCATTCTTCAGCTAATGGTATATTAATCTGTGGTTTATATTTATAAGATCGTACCTATATATGCGAACATGCCTCAAAATCGGACAACTTTATGTGAAATCTTTGCGTTAACAGAATGTTCTCCGTTGTGCAGGAAGTCTAGATAAAAAGCAAATCGATAAGTCCATTATCTGTTTGAATAAACGAAACCAATGTGAACTCACCTATAATGAGCGAAATTTTGCCAACTTACAACTGCAACAAATCATGAGGGAAGTGATCAACTTTGCCAGACAATTCGCCATTGGGTAGGTAATCGGGTACTAAAAAATATGTAAAAACAAATGTTGTCTGCTAAGTATATGTTTTAATGATAAGAGGTAGCACGATTAATTAGTACATCCAAGGTTTGACACAAACGTATACCAATAAACGTATACCGTATACCAATTGGTCTCTCAGTTTTAAAACTATCGTCTCGAAACATTGCAAAGGTCCGTGTTTCTGTTGTAGATACTGTCTGCCGGTTTAGACCACGTATATACTTTATGTCTCATAGTAATGATCAGTCGAAAAGGAAGTTCTTTTAGAAATACTTTTTTGTTTGTTAAGATAACTTGACCAAACTCGGCATTTACTAGTCTTACTATGCTGCTTATATATTAGCAAAATCTTTTCAAGATCGGACTACTATATTATATAGCTCTATATGAAGAATTGGCAAAATATTCCGCTTTCTAAGATATTTTCACCAAACTCAGAATTTACGAGCTTAACTATTGTTTTATATCTGGTAAGTCTTAAGGAAAATGTCTATAAGGATATTTCATCTTCAATGTGCCGAATATAGGCGTACTTTTTTTCTGATTATGGTTTTTGTGACTCATAACTTTAACTTTTCCTTTTAATCTGTTACTTTCAATTCAACAAGCATTGAATTCAATCCTTTAACATCAGTTCGTGTTTGGACAAAATTTTACATTTCGGTGTTGCGTTAATTGAAAAGCAGACGCGATATTCTTCTTTTTCTTTTCTTAGCATAAATTTTATAATTTGGGCATGAAATGCATAATGAAAAATGTCATAGAAGGATATTCAGCATCAATAGTCAAGTTTATATGTCTGTTTGTTTTTTTTTTTTAGCAACTAAGGATATATTACAAATGTGACTTCGCTGAAGGATTTTAGGTAATCCATCTGACTTGTATGCTTGTATAACGCATTGCAGATTACAAGAGATAAAGTTGATGCTAATGAGGCTGCACTCATAATTTAGGAGAATACCAGAACTGCCTCTTTTTAAAAGCAAAAGCTTGGGTGTAGTCAAAAGGGCGCAAAATAAATCCACAAAAATTCCTCAGAGCCTAGATAATTTTGGTTACAAGTATTTTTTTTAATATTTATTTATACGAATATGAAGTTAGAGATGATCTTACCAATAATTGATTTGCTTTACTATTAGGGGAAGATGGCCAATAACCTGCAATATAATAAAAGGTGCATAAATAGATTATAGAGAATAATGAATGTGAACTCCGTACTTTGATTTTTTCTTCTTATTTTAAGAGCGTATCTAGGGTTATTGCTGGTATCGGTCTTGCACCTATAAAAGAATACCACAGTGAAGGCACCACTAGGCTCAATAAGTTCAACGAAGAATAACTTACTGCGACTAAATCTTTAAAGTCGCATCTAAGTTATGAATCAGTCTTCGGTCATGGCATTTTGTAACGTCGTGAACGTTGTAAAGATGTTAGTCCCTGATTAAAAGAAAAAAAAAGTAAGAAAAAAATAGATAAATTATGCAGCTGGTTTTTTAAGATAGTTGGTTATGATTCTATAGATTTATATTACGTTCTCGATATCACGCCCCTAATTTTGTATTGACGATCGGCAAGAGGCTTTACGACTATTTGATAAGACTATGCCCTACTCTATCCTCACCAATTCGGCATCTAGTCAGTCACTCTTATTGATGCTTTGGTAAGCAGTTCTTTACCATAAACACATTATTCGATTGTGTGCGCAATAACGCCACCTTTATCATCTTTCGTAACGACAAAGACGCAACGAAAGTACAGGGCTCGAGAGCGGGCCAGACAGACGGCCATTGCTAATTCGAGTCGACTGTTGATGCTGATCAAGAATATACATACTTTATGGGGTCGGAAATGCTTCTTTCTGCCTGTTACATACAGTTGCGCAAAAACATTATACCCTTTTTACACATTTTTTATGGGTTCAGGGTATAAAAACAATGCCAATGGGATCCCCGGCCTCCCAGTAATCGCAGACATAATAATGGAAATACTGTTGGACAATACTGATAAATTAAAAATATTACCAAGACTTTGTAATACGTAACAGGCAAAACAGAAGTACATTCTGAAAGAACTGAACACTGGATAATCATCACGCCTCACGAAATAAGACTGCTACAACAAATATGAAATAAAATTAATCCACAAATACTTTAGAAATATTCTTCAACAACACAAAGGCAAAAATTCCAATGATGGACAAAGGTAAGGAACAACAACAATAATTGAAATAAAGTGTACAACGGCACAACAAACTCAAAACTAATAACAAGAATAACTGAACTCATTAACTTATTATATAAAACTATTGAATGGTCAAATAGTTTCAACCTCCATGTCAAAGATCGTAGACGTGTAAAACAATGCACTTTGTAAACAGTTTCATTACTTGCTAAAACTACTTTATTTTAATGTTAAAACAAAATTGTTTGCATTCATATGTGAATAAAAATTTGGAATAGGTCATGATCAGCACTGGAAACCAGCAAAAACCAGACCAGTGAATAACAACACATATATACATATTTTGATGTCGTTATGCATTCATTATTCATGCAAACATAGCTGCTTGCACGCTATTTGCTGAGTCAAGAACTTTTCTCGAGCATACACTGTCGAAAAGCAAAAATGAAATCAATCTATGTGTGCTATTTTCTGACCATAGTTATTGCACAAGGTGCACTCTGTGATAAAATAATTTCACTTTTTAATTTTCCTGTAAAATTTTATATTAGGATCTAAGGTAATGTATCATTCAAATAAAGCATGCATTTCATGGATAAAGCAAAAGTACTATGCGTCGATCGTAAGTTTAAAACTTTTCGCTCCATGTACTTCGAAAACGAAGCGATGCAAAGTACCATCGACTGGCAAACGATCAATAACGAGATCCCGGCTTTCAGAGTTAGAATCACAAAATTTGACATGTAGCTTCTCGTATAGTAAATTTAATTTTTTAGATAACACCTAACCCAGTAACTCGAAAATTAAAGTTGGAAACACACAACATTTCTATACCGTACTTTTGGCTGGCGTTTTAGCGTATATAAATATTAATATTCCATGGAACAATCAAATTTTTTGATAAACAATATTTCAAGACTGTTTAAGAAAGAAAATATTCGTATATTCTCAAAACACAATTGCATTCAAATTATGGAAAGATTCTTGATCTGCATATAGTATATTCTAGAATCTTCATGTCAAATTTGGTGACTTTAGCTCTTAAGACCTAAGAGATTTGCTAAAAAAAAAAAAGGATTTCAATGCCGATTTTACCAATTGCTTTGAAACGAGGAAGTTATCAATTATCAGATACAAACTCGTACTGCGCGGGCACTAGGAGTTTATAATTTTAATTCGCTAGTTCTTATTGGTTCTGAGATGGACACGTTTATAGATAGACTCGGCAATTAATGCTGGTTAAGAATACATACACTTAATAGGCTCGGAGATGCTTCCTTCAGCTTCCAATTTTTTTTTTTTTTGTTCTGTGTATGTGGAGGTGGAAATTCAGAAGTCCCGAAAGCTTCAAAACTTGTTAAACTTGCATCAGATAGGCAAGCAATCAAACAGGCAAACATGCGCATAGACGCTTGTATACACATACAAACTTGTGCAAAAGTGTGTGCACGACCGGTCAAAACAGTTTCCATGCACACATGCCAGCGCTCAGGTACCCTTACCAACAAAAACCATGCAACATGTAACATTTCTGCACCGATTTTTTCTTCTGTTCCATGTTAAAAATTGGCGTTATGTCCTGAATTTTTGTTTGAACGAGGTAAGGAAATACTAATTAATTCTGGAATGGCCATTTAAACTGCTGAGATATACATATTAAAAAAAAAAGCTGTCTTTCCTCAATGCTTAGATATATTTCTAACATTATGGACTATCTGATCACTTATAATTGACAACGTATGCCATAAATGCCTATGTACACATTCGTTACCTTTTCGGCTAAAGTGATAACAAAATACGGTTCACAATGACTTTATTAGAGCCAAAAACGTGCCTTTTTGTTGTTATTTATCTTTTTTATTATTAAACTGTATAATTTTTTTGGTTAAATGCAGATAATACACGTAAAAATAAAACTTCCCTTCTGCGAGTTAGTTTTTTCTGTTACAAAAAAATATTTTAGTCGCTGTACGAAGACATTATTGGTACACTTTAGCTGTCTAATTCAGATCCCATCCAATTGTTTTATGGTTAGATCTAAGACGTAGTGTGTCTTTAAGATAATATTAAGGAATTATGTACCTGTATAAAATAAAAACAAACACAGATAACATAGATGTTTTGTGAATGTGTATCTACAAGTATAGTTACATGAATAAGCATAGGTATACATACACCTACTCTTACACATATGTATATACGCTTATCAATGGTGCGACTTTTATTATGTTTGCTGCCTTAACTAACCTTTCACCACTGTTTTGCTGTCGAATTCGACAACCTTTTGAAGGCTATAGTTTTAGATATTGATTATGCGTTGGTTATAAACACTTTCTGTAAATCTTGTTTGGTGCTACTTTCCCAGCCAATGGAAGTCACTCACGTATGTTTTGGATGAAATGCCACCACCTTTAAAGATAGTGATTCTGTTCCTCCTGATTCGTTCACTTAATTAAACAGTGTGGGTGCCACTACTGCAGCTTCTGTTTTTATACTTTCCTTGCGAGTATATGGCAAAATTTGTACTTCTCATTCTTCAGATTCACTAAATTTTATTTCCAATTAAAGATGAGCGATATTTACTCAACCCGTTACAAGTAACAAGTATTCAAAAGTAACTCCTATGTCATGCACGGATAGTAAAGCAAGGGTCTACTTGATGGTCGTTGTTTACTCAAAAGATTTACACCGAAAATTTCACTAAGAAATTACTACGACGATATGACAAATGACTGGATCAATGTTATAGATATGTTAGATATATATGTATATAATATCTCTATATATAAAACTGTTTGTCCTGACTGACTGACTGACTGACTGACTGACTGACTGACTGACTGACTGACTGACTACATTTCATAAACTTGCAGTTTGTTTCATTTTTGTGGTTGCTGTCTTGTTGCTTGCCTATTTTTATACTTGTTGCACAGTTGAAATCTTAATAACAAATTCTGTACTCAGGTTGTTCCTTTCGTACTCGTCGAAGAGCTGAGTACTGTGTAACTGGCCTGTACCACTAACCAAATAACATATAGACCGGACAACCCGTACTTTTGTTGGGCCTTCGTTTTTGTTCGGGTTCGAGACATGCCCGCATGCTCTCACAGCAAGAGAGTAAGAATTAGAATTCATAGAAGCATTTATGCGCATGTGTGCCTGTTGCTCTCTGCCTGCCTGTCCGATGCAAATTTGACAATATTTTTGGATTTCTGAATTTCGAGCTCTACACACACACAGAGACACAAATGTGTGTGAATGGGCTGATCATGGGCGCAAAATTTAAAAATATCATTATTGGCACACGTCTCACGCGCGCCCTTCTTTTTATGATTTGGGGTTTGAATTGAAAAAGACAGCGTTACCGTTCCACGACACAGGCCATATGTATTCTTACTCTCCTGCTGTGAGAGCATGCGGGCATGTCTCGAACCCGAACAAAAACGAAGGCGAGTTTGGACCAGCCGCAAAAAAAATGAATGTCACCAACAAAAGTACGGTTTGTCCAGTCTATATGTTATTTGGTTAGTGCCTGTACTCAGGTTGTTACTTTCGTACTCGTCGAAGAGCTGAGTACTGTGTAACAGATCTATACTCAGGTTGTTCCTTTCGTACTCTTCGAAGAGCTGACCTGTGTAACTGGCCTGTACTCAGGTTGTTCCTTTCGTACTGGCTACAAAGCTAAGAACTGGCTGCAAAGCTAAGAACTATGAAACTGATGTGTACTTGGCTGTTATTTTCAACTTGCAACTATGCGGCCTCACTTACAAAAACCATGAGAGCGCCTCTTTTCTCAAGCTGGCCTTTAATTGTCAGATCGCACAACACGATAAAGTGACGATAAGGTCCACATGCTGCTTTTCCTAAATGCCAACGAAAACCTTTTTTAACTTTATATATAATAATAATATTTAAATTAAATATAAAAAGAAATTGTAATAGAGCATAACATTATAAAATTTTATTTGGTTTGTTCTTATACATATATATTTATTTATAAAAAACGGCGCGCCTACAAGTCGAGTAACAGTCGCTGTTATTTGTAACTGGTATTTTTTTGTAACTGTCATAGTTGTCACTGTGACACAAAAATAACACTATCGATCATCCCTATTTCCAATGGCTTACCGATAGAATTATTTCATTTTGTGTGAGGTCAGGCAATATCGATGAATCGATTATTGCCACAGGCTTATGATAATTCCGCATTTCCGCTGCACGGTATTTGGAGCTTTCGCACAAAAATATCAATTCTTATAATTAATTATTATGCGAGTTGTTAAAAAAAATATTCAGAAGAAGAGATGAACAGAAAATCATCAGATTTTTGTTCTTATTCTTATTTCCTACTTTTTTAGCTTGGTCTGAATTTCGGCTTCATTTGTATAAAGATCGTATTTTTTGTATTAGTCAGCCCTCATAGGCAAAAGAGTCAGGGGTGGTGTTATATATCTACTTAACGTAGTTTTTTTCTCAGGAAGCCATTTCCGTCGGAATTTATTTTTATTGCGTATTATCACTAACGATACATGGCATAGATACGTCAAACAGCAAAACAATCAAAACACGATAAATCGCAACGAGTGAGCCCAAAGGGTGCATGCACTAATCAAAGAATATATAGATGGGACATGCCGTACACGAAATGTGGGCTCTAAAAAATCGGTGCATCTGGTCCAAAATTCTTCAATTCAAACCCAAAATTATAAAAATGAAGGGTGCGCGTCAGATGCGTGCCAATAATGATATTTTCTTTTGCGCCCATGATCTGCCCATTCACACACATTTGTGTGTGTGTGTCTGTGTGTAGAGGTCGAAATTCAGAAATCCCAAAATATTGTCAAATTTGCATCGGACAGGCAGGCAGGCACCAACAGGCACACAAGCTCATAAATGCTTCTATTCATATAAAAAATATGCAAGTATGCGTGAATAGCAAGTCCAAAAACTTTTAAATGCACACATGCCAACGCTTAGGTACCCTTTCGAAGAAGAACGAGCTAAAATGAAAGAATTTCGCATCGACTTGGCAAACCCTTTCATTATTTCATATTACTCGTCCCCTCAAAAGGGAAGAAATGCCACCGAGTTTTGAGAAAAATTTAATTTGTGGGCAATTTTGCTTGTGCGGACACATACACACACAAGCATTTAAACGGTAAATATACATAAAGAGAGCATTGAGAGCACTGAGAGTAAGTGCGAGCGAGATAAAAATAAACAGCGATGCCATTCTATCACACAAATCGTATGGAAGAGAGTAAGCCAAAGCAGTCTCCTGTAGAGTAAGCGAATAAAAGACATCATATGCATATCTTATTCTTTTTGTGGACCAGATGCACCGATTTTTTTCGCCCACATTTCTAGTACGGCATGTCCCATCTGTGTGTTCTTTGGTAAGTGGTGCCTGCGACCATTTTAGTGTGCCCAGAAAGAGTAAGACTGCTGAGAGTGGCAGCCGAACGCCGGCCTATAAAAGCCGAACGTTCAGTATGAAGCCGCATCTCGGTCAGCGCATGACGTCGCTGAGGCTGATGCTATTTCTTAATATATGTATGGTAGTTTTAAATCCTTTCAGCCCAAAAACATATGTGTGTATGTATGTTGTTACTGTCCGACTTATGGTTCGGGTTCCCTTCATCGACTTGCCGGCTAGACAGAGATCCACCAGGGGTGGGTAAGACCTCGATAAAGGGAAGAGTCGGTTAACAAAATAATTTATATTTAAACTTGGACTAACGAATTTCGGTTACTTTTCGAACACTCTGTCGGACAATCGGAAAACAAGCATACAGTGGACAGCTGTTAAGGTCCACCCTAACGGAGCCCTCCCCACCATGAGTTGGCCATAAATGCACCTGCCGACTCCCAAATCCTGACCCGCCTCACACACTTATCTCACCCACCGAAATTTCTTACTCGAACATTTCACTTTTACTTACACAAAGTCATTTAATAAATTAACACTTAGCATATTTCACAATTTTTATAATAATTCTTCTTTGTAGGGCAGACGCGAAAACGGCTCGACGACACTAACACCTAGGACAAATAAATTAATTTAAGTTTATCATAAATGAAGATTATGATTAATTAATCATTGCATGGGCCGCCTGCGGGTGTCCGCTACCTATAAATAGTAGCGCTTTTTATAAATAATAATAAATAATATAAATAATTATGATAATAATAATTCAATTAATATGAAATTATGATCATTTAATATTAATTATTCGACTGCCATTTTTATCTCTTTAATTCTTTCTTCAATTTGGATGATTTAAATTTACATAAAAAAACCTGAGGCCACCCAGAGGTGGTGGCCAATCCGCTCCTCTGGTGACCTGATCCTCGCCTGCGGCACCTACCGTATTATGGGACTTCAGTTTTGGCGACACTAATCAATTTAATTTAACATATATATTTAATTTTTTTGTATTCTTTAGGTTCACTTAAATTTTATTTACTTTTTCAAATGACCGAAAATTCGCCTTTTCTATAATTTAAAATTTTTTTGTATGCGGCCGGCTTGCACTCCGGCACTCTCCCTTTCAAAAATTTCTAGAGTCATGCTAAGGAACTGGTGGCTCCGATAATTGCGCACCCCTCTAATCTATCGCTTTCCTTCAGCCAGCAATTCAAAAACAGCATATTGTTTGGTGTGGTATTTATATATATTTTTTTTTTAATCGTATTGCTGCCCGTAACAATGTGCAGAGTTTGCCTCGCTCTCAGTCATTGCTTTGCGCGCTTGTGTGCATGCAAATGTTTGTGCTGTGCGGATGCGTTTGCCGCGAGCCAGAGATATTTTCTTCAATTGTGTGCCCTTTCTGCCTGTGGTAGCAAAAGGCACACACATTCAAATGCTCTATCATGTATTTCTTGGTCCAGTCAGGCATAATGGGAAAAATCTAATTTATTTAATAAAAACTTAAATGACCCAAATCACTAACCAAATAACATATAGACCGGACAAACCGTACTTTTGATGGTGACATTCGTTATTTCTGCGGCTGGTCCAAACTCACCTTCGTTTTTGTTCGGGTTCGAGGCATGCCCGCATGCTCTCAGAGCAAGAGAGTAAGAATACATATGGCCTGTGTCGGGGAACGTCAACGCTGTCTTTTTACTCGCTCACTCTACAAGAAACTGCTGTGGCTTACTCTCATCCATATGATTTGTGCGATAGAACGGCATCGCTGTTTTTTATCTCGCTCCCACTACAGGAAACTGCTTTGGCTTACTCTCAGTGCTCTTTCAATTAGTCTATGTACCGTTTAAATGTTTGTGTGTGTATGTGTCCGCACAAGCAAAAATGCCACCAAATTCAATTTTTCTCAAAAGTCGGTGGCATATCTTCCCTTTTGAGGGGACGAGTAATATGAAATAATGAAAGGGTTTGCCCCGTCGATGCGAAATTCTTTCATTTTAGCTCGTTCTTCTTCGAAAGGGTACCGTTGGCATGTGTGCATTTAAAAGTTTTTGGACTTGCTATTCACGCATACTTGCGTATTTTGTATATGAATAGAAGCATTTATGCGCTTGTGTGCCTGTTGGTCCCTGCCTGCC